ACTGGAGGCCTGTCCAGATGTCTCTGGTGAACTGGAGACCTGTCCAGATGTCTCTGGTGAACTTGAGACCTGTCCAGGTGTCCTCTGCCTTCATCCATAGGCAGCGAGGACACCAGCCCAACCCTGACCTTGATTAGGAACATGGAGGACAGGAGGAGGATTTTTCTTTATAGCAGGAAACAGACATTTAATTATAAAACATGATTTATTTGATGTTAATCTGAATCAGTTTAGTGTTGTTTGTAAATATATTTGACAGTTTTGTAGGAATGAACACGTTTGTAATGTTTGTTCAAAATAAACCTGCTTCTTATGACTTCTGTAACATGTTTTGAATAAAATATTATCAGTAAAAACCTCCAGTCATGTCCTTTCTAATAATTATTAGAACTAGAAGAACTGTAACTTTGCAGTTTTCCCAAAGATTTTTTTTAACCGTGGTGGTGACCTCTCATGTGGGGGTTTGACAAAATCTGGTTGTCCTCAAAACATTTTGGTTGTCCAAAAAATATCTCAATAAAAATATCATTTAATAAGTAGGCTATATTGTTCTGTATACAAAGTGTAATATATACAAATGTTCTCAGTCAGCAGGTTACTGACTACTACTCCCTCTTTCTCCTCCTCATCCTCTTCTAAAAAACCAACATCCAACATCCATAAGCTTTCTGCTTACAGGTCAAACATTATTATTTAAATAGGAGTAAACTGTTTACTTATTAAAAGTTACAGTTTAGTGTTCTTAGGACTAATTTTAGTGTTTTCAACTGAGGAGCTTTGATATATTTACTTAAAATAAGTTATAACAGAGGAAGTTCTCTGCACAGAAAAAATATATTTTTTACTGTTTTTTTAACCAAACTGACAAGTTTCTTCAGTAAAATTATTGTGTAATTTAAAGGCAATGAAACATCTGGTTAAATTTAGAAGATATTATGATTAACTACAAACATCTGAAGCTGACTCAGAGAACTCTGTGATTTTAGAAAAAATAAAAGTCAAATGTAGACACGTCTTTAAGAGATTCTCCTCCTCCCCACCCCGCGCAGCTGTGGTCAGCGAACCTGCACCCCACCCGCATGTGATTAATACTGATTTTTTGCGCAAATTACAAATTTTTGATGCTCATTAAACGCGTTAAACGTCTGAAGGGATTGGCATGTATGAACTTTAAGTCCCGGGCTGGGCTGGTCAGAGCTGCGCTGCAGACTGACAGGTTCTGCTGCACCTTGCTTTAAAAACAGTCAGCTGATCCGTCACGGTTTTGTTGCGCTCGTGACGTGGACACACAGGGGGAAATGCTGCGAAGTGCTTTTAGAAATATAATAAATATAAAATACGACGTAACCCTCAGTGGAAAATAGTCCAGGAAACGTGTGCGTTCCCGGGAGGTGTTCACCTGCAGCTGAGTGAAGCTGACCCCCCACCCACAGAGAAAGAAAAAAAGGCAGTAATTATTGATAAGGTAGTAAGCATGCTGTGGCTTCACCTGTCGCATTTTCTTTTAAAGAAAGAAAAAGTAGCTTGCAAAGCTGTCGCATCGGTGCAACGTGATTAAAAGCAGAGTGGCGTGTCTAATCTCACACACGTCTTCCTATCTTTGTGAGGACCACACACAGCGCTCAGCCTCGCACTGCGCCGTCTTTTCCCCTCCAAGTTTGGTGAGAGGTGGATATGGAGGGACGCAAAAAAATAGCTCTCGTCTTGATCTGGCCTTATTTAAATAAAAACGACTACATGCCGTGAAATTCTTAGAGGGGCAGGCTGTCTCATTGGTGGGGGGGCGGGGGGTAGGGGCTGTATAATAGTAGGGGAAACACTGGTGTGTGTGTGTGTGTGTGTGTGTGT